CCCCAAAACCCCAAAACCCCAAAACCCCAAAACCCCAAAACCCCAAAACCCCAAAACCCCAAAACCCCTCTTAGTTAATAATTAATTGAACACTCCGAATATGAAGAAGAAAATCGACAAGAGAATTAGAGCTTTAATCGAAAATGCAGCCAAGTACAGGCACAGAGCCATGTTTATCGTCGTAGGTGATAGAGGAAGGGACCAGATTGTTAACTTGCACCATCTCATGGCCACTGCTTCTGTGAGAAAGAAGCCATCCTTGCTCTGGTGCTACAAGAAGGACTTAAGCTTCAGCTCTCATAGGAAGAAGAGAATGAAATAAAATTAAGAAAATGATGCAAAAGGGATTGTATGACAAAGATGTCGATGATCCATTTGAGATGTTCGTTACTACCACAGATATTAAGTACTGTTATTACAAAGACACGCATACTGTTCTTGGAAATACATTTGGAATGCTTGTGCTTCAAGATTTTGAAGGAGTTACCCCAAATGTGATGTGTAGAACTATGGAAACTATTGAGGGTGGAGGAGTCATTGTCATGCTGTTCCATACCATGACATCACTGAGACAATTCTACACCATCTCAATGGATGCTCATAAAAGGTACAGGACTGACAACCATCAGGTTGTCAAGCCAAGGTTTAATGAGAGGTTTCTCTTGTCTCTTGGAGATTGTAACAATTGCTTAGTCATTGATGACGAACTGAATATCCTCCCTATCACAGGTAAGTTGCAAAAGGTGTGATTATATAGAAAATGTAAAATTTGATGAAAGCCCAGACATGGAAGAGATCTTCATGACAAAAGAGCAGAAGGAATTGGTTGAACTCAAGAGCTCTCTTAAAGATTCTGGACCAATTTACAATTTAGTGGATGGATGAATGACTCTTGATCAAGCAAGGAGTGTCATGGCAATGGTTGATACAATCTCTAATAAAGCACTTAATACGACCACCTCATTGACTGCAGGTAGAGGGAGAGGAAAGAGTGCCACCTTGGGACTAGTAATAGCTGGTTCGATCATTTATGGATACAGCAATATCTTCATTACAGCTCCAAGTCCTGAAAACTTGAAGACACTCTTTGAGTTTATTGTTAAGGGACTTAAAGCATTGAACTACAAGGAGCATAATGATTTTGAGATTTTCCAGAGTACCAATCCAGATTTCAAAGACTGTGTTGTAAAAATCAATGTGTACAGGGATCATAGACAATCGATCCAATATGTTCAGCCACAAGACTTTAACAAATTACTCCAGCCAGAAATCTTAGTGATTGATGAAGCAGCTGCTATTCCATTGCCAATCGTTAAGCATATGATGGGATCTTACCTAGTATTTATGTCATCTACAATTAATGGATACGAAGGAACTGGAAGATCATTATCCCTCAAACTTATTAGCCAGCTCAGGGACCAAAACAAGCTGAAATTTGGTGAGCACACTCAAAGATCAGGAATGAAGTCCATCAGAGACTTGAAAGAGATTTTAATGGACGAGCCAATCAGATACGGAGTCAATGATCCGGTTGAAGAATGGTTGAATAATTTGCTCTGCTTGCATTGCACTGAAGCAGATCCTTTACAGAGTGGAGCTCCCCATCCAGATCTTTGTGACCTATATCATGTGAACAGGGATACCTTGTTCTCCTATCACAAGGGAAGTGAGAAATTCTTGAAGAAAATTATGTCATTATTTGTGAGTTCCCACTACAAGAATTCTCCAAATGATCTACAACTACTATCTGATGCCCCAGGTCATGCCTTGTTCGTATTGATCGGCCCTCTGGATAGACAGAAGAGTAAAATCCCTGATATTCTTTGCGCTATTCAAGTTTGTTATGAAGGAAATGTAGCAAAGGAGACTATGAACTCAAGCATGGCAAGAGGTCTTCGTCCATCCGGTGATTTAATCCCCTGGACTGTCAGTGAACAATTCCAGGATACCAACTTTGGAATGCTTAATGGAGTCAGAGTTGTGAGAATTGCTACACACCCTAATGCTCAGAAGAAGGGATATGGGACAAAAGCGCTTGAGCTTCTTCAGAAATATTATGATGGTCTAATGATTGACTTGGATAATATCAAGACTGATGAAACTGAAGAGCTATATCCTAAGGAAGAAATTAAGGAAGAGAGCAAAGATGAAGGAATTTTGTCCGAGAAAATTAAGCAAAGAAAGGGTCTCTGTCCTATTTTACAAAAACTAACAGAGAGAAAGCCCTTATCAATCCAGTATTTAGGAACAAGTTTTGGAATTACTCCTGAATTGTATACTTTCTGGACTAAGAGTGGATACACTCCTTTGTATATTAGACAGACTGCTAATGATCTAACTGGGGAACATACCACTATTTTGATAAAGCCTCTGAAGAAAGAAGATATCCATATCGGCACACAAGCAATTGGAATGGGCAACCAGGAAGAGAGCGAAGATGGTTGGGCTGATCCATACACTAGTGATTTTAGAAAAAGGTTTATGAACTTGCTTGGTTTCGAATTTAGAAAAATGCCTTGCACCCTAGCTTTAAACATCTTGCTTCCTTCACTAAAGGCTCATGCACAGGCTAGTGATTTAGAGGTTGACTTTGACAAGCTCGATAAAAATCTTTGTAAGAGAGAAATTAGTACATTTGATCTAAAAAGACTCGAAAGCTATTCAAAGAACATGATTGACTTCCATTTGATCATTGATCTAGTTCCAAGACTGTCAAAACTATACTTCTCAAAGGAGCTAGACTGCGTTCTTAGGATGAGCTTTGTGCAGGCATCTATCTTCCTTGGAATAGGCCTTCAACATAAGAAGATAGAGGATCTTTCGAAAGACTTGGGAGGACTGAAGCCTGCTCAGATCCTTCCCCAACTCAACAAGATCATGAAGAAGTTCACAAATGTGTTCAGGAAATTATACGAGGAAGAAGCTAAAGAGCTAATCCCAGAACTTGAAAGCAGTGCTAAAGCCACTGAAGTTCTTAACTCAGCAACTGGAATTAAAGACCAATTGAGCAAAGAGCTAGATAAAGAAGGAAGAAAGTTCATGGAGGAGCTACACAAGCAGAAAGAAGAGTTTGAAAAGAGTTCTAAGAACAAGAAGAGATCTACAAAGGGAAAAGATCATAAACAGAAGCACAAGAGAGCTAAGCATAAGTAAATGCAAATAAATATTTCATCTGATCTAAATTTCAATGTGGATTACTTGAAACGGGGTTTTGGGGTTTTGGGGTTTTGGGGTTTTGGGGTTTTGGGGTTTTGGGGTTTTGGGG